ATTTCCCATTTATCTCCCTGCAATCAGCGGTATGTGTTCGCTCACTTCCCGTTCAATCGAGCCGACCTGTGACAGTTTCAGTGTCACACATCCGCTCTAAATATGGGGATGAGTGTAAACATGCGTTATGAAAAAAGCAGTGTGGTGCAGTGCACAGAGGCCAGAAGGTGCGTTAGGTGCCATACAAATGAATCCCAACGGACCTAGCACATGTTGTATTGGAAAGAGCAAACTGATGTCTTAATGTGGTTTTGCTCCTTCCTTTACCAGTCAGCTGCCTGAGGCATATTTTCCTTTTTAGGATCCCTATGATTTGAGATGCACACCTCCCAGGGTTTGTGGAGGGAGGATATCTACTCCTTCAGTCCTGAGTGTATAAAATGCAGTAAGAAGCACCGTTTCACTTCAAGAGACATATTTCCTCAAAGTGAAATGGTGCTTCACTTGCAGGAAGCATGTTCATGTAATGCAACTTCCTTCACTCACATCAATAACAAAGGTGAAATACCTTCTTCTGATCTATTCCAGAGAACATTGGCATTCCTTCTGTGTGCCAAAGCAAATCTTGACAGTCTTCCAGTTGATCTTTGAAAAGGTTTCTGTCGTGTGAATAGGCTCTGAGATTTCCGGCAGATAGTGAACGGTTTCGTTATACCTGTTTGTCACTGCAGTAAACATCTTTCTGTTACATTCCTGCGTTGGAGCAACCATGGTAAAATGCTTTTAAATCTTGATTGCTCACTGGCTATCTATAGATGTCCTGTCTGGCTGTCAATAAGGTTTTATGATCTCCTGTTAAGGCCCTCATGTGATAAAAATTTGGTGGGGCTGAAACAGCTAGTAGGGAGTGCACTTGATCCACAAAGCCGATACATGGGTCTGGGGGGGTAAGCATAGGGGTGGGAATGGGGGCATTTTGCCTTTTTATCTGAATCATTTTATTGTTTTTTGTTTTTTTTTTTTTTTTTTTATTATAGTTAAAGCCACAAGAGCTTTCTGTTTAAATCTGCTAAATACATTCCAGGTGCATTAAAACAAAGTGTGCAAAGCCTTACAGTTTGATTTCTTTAGTATGAGGCCAGAGTAGATAACCCTGTCATCATGCAGAGTGGAAGCATTAGTCTCTGTGCAGAGGTCTGACACCTCCCCCTGCTGAGTCAGAACTTTGCTAATTGCAGGACTATAGGCCTGACTTAACGGGGGAGTGTTGGACCTTTGCATAAAGACCACTGTTTCCACACACAGAGCAGCATGCTGGCAGGTGACGACAGGTTTTTCTAGTCACTGTGGCTGTTTTCTAAAGAAAACAAAATATAAGACTTTGATCACCTGGAGTGTATTCAGCTGGTTTAAGCTGAGAGTTCACTTGTGTTCTATACATGCAACTATTTATAAAATAACCAATAATGCAGTGGTCACTGTAAAGTCAGTCTGCGTCAGTCTTTTCTTGAAGGCATGAATAATAATGGAGTTTAGCCACACACAAAAAGGAGTTTGTGTAATCGTTTTCTAGCAAGGGATGAATCCTCAGTCTTAAAATAGTTCCAGGCACATGATGCTGACTCAGGCATAATAAAAGGAAGCATCACAATCATGAGATGTCTTTCCTACACTTGTCTGTATAGCAAAGTTTTCCACTTTTACTATAACAGTTCTGTCACTTAACTACCTAACGCACAGCAGATTCTGATCCTGAAGAAAATGACGGCTCTCTGCACTTCTGGGTCTGACTTTACTATAGTTTAGGTCCTCCATACCCCATTATTTAGAACAGACCATGATTCCTTTAGGCTGTTACTATCTTTCATTAAGTCTTTTATTAGTTACACCTTTAGCGCTTTGATATATATTTTCTCGATTGTTACTATCTTTTACTGCTAATTCTATTGGTAATATAGTCAAATGGAAAGTGTAAAATTATACAGCAATGAATGCAGAATGGCACCAGCTATAGAGGAATACATTATACAGCACAATACAGAATACCACCAGCTATAGAGGAATACAACAAATCCCAGCAATAATACGTTATACAGCACAATACAGAATACCACCAGCTATAGAGGAATACAACAAATCCCAGCAATAATACGTTATACAGAATACCACCAGCTATAGAGGAAAACAACAAATCCCAGCAATAGTACATTATACAGCACAGTACAGAATACCATCAGCTATAGAAGAATACAACAAATCCCAGCAATACAATATACATACAGTGTATAATCCTATTGCTAGGATTTGTATTCCTCTATGCACTCTTACTTTTAGATGCGAGATCGTGGGCCTGTCAGGTGCGCATGTCGTCTATTTTCCATCTATTTAGTTTACCCTTCTCGCGGCTCCACACACGACCCGAGCCGCACACCAATCGATGATGGAAAACGTTGACAACGTTTTCCATCGTCAATTTTTAATCGACTAAATCGATTAGTTGTTGCAGCTCTAGTAATTTTATGTACATGAGGGTGGAGGGCTTTACAATTTTTTATTTATATAGTGCAATAAACCTTATTGCTATCACATAGGGGGATAACAAGCCTTATGTCTCCTAGGGACCCCTCTGAAGTTGATGAAGCCCAAATCGTGCTGTACCAGCTTTTTCTCTAGCCACAGCAGCTGGAGAAATGAGACTGAAACCAGAAGTGCCAAAAAACCTTGTTGCTTGCGGTTTCAAAGATAAGCAGGGAGACCAGCCACTGGAAGTGTGCTGATCTCACTCCGGAGCAGCAGCAGACACCAAGTGTCTAGAAATCTGCGCTTGGTCTTTAATCTGTTTTCCTTTTTAATATTAATAATTGTTTATTTTGTCTGCACAAATGTATACATTGCACCTGGCCTTCATATTCATATAAATCACTGTTTTAACTTTGAGTACCAGCCGAATTCTGATTTTGGGGCACAATAGAAGAACCAGTGAGGGAAAAATCTCCTCCCCATTGGGCGAACAGGCAAAAATAAAATCCTACAAATTGATCCTTTCCCTATCCGGATTTTTAAAAAAGCAGCTGAAGTTCCACTTAAAGGGACACTGTCACATTGTACATTTAGTGCAAACTTACTGTGTCTTTGGTGGGGAGTGTTGGCAAGGCAAGTATCGGTTGGAGGCCATTTACAAAGTCACTGTCGCTTTACCATGTATGGGCAGAGTGACAGGGACTTTTTTAAAGGATAAGTGCGCTTTAAAATAAAGTGCAGTTATCCTTTAAGGCTAGAGTAATTAAATTTTGGTGTGATCTGTTTTAGCATATGAATGATCTAAATATCAGTTTAATAATTACATTTTATTTCCCCCCCCCTGTTTAGGTGAAAGACCGTGGACCTGAGGCAACGCGTAGATTTTTTAACTGGTTCTACTGGAGCATCAACTTGGGTGCAATTGTGTCTCTTGGTGGGATAGCTTATGTTCAGCAGAATGTGAGCTTTCTCATAGGATATATTATCCCTGCAGTTTGTATTGGAGTTTCCTTTCTTGTGTTTATATGTGGACATGCCGTCTTTGTTACAAAGCCAGCTGATGGAAGTGCCTTCACCGACATGTTCAGAATATTGGCATATGCCTGCTGCAGGCGGAAACCTTCTACAGAGAACTCAAGGCACATGTATGTATGATGTACTAATTGTGTATGCGTGCGATCTGTTAGCAATGGCTGCCTCTGTTGTCAATATTTTCTAACCATTGACTTTATACAAACATGCATCAAGTAAGTGGAAGGAAATACAACTCCCCAGTCTTACTTGGCAAATGTATTTTAGGTCATAGTCTTGGAAGATAAGCAGAACAGCCAACCACTAGCATTTCCTTGACCGCTAGATGTAGCAATGTAAATAGTGAACATATGACCGTTTCCTTTCAAATGTCAATGTTTTCTAAGCATATAGCCTAGCTGTAGCCTTTTGCACACAGACCTTCAACTTATTTTGGCTGTTAAGAAAATATTCCAGCTGATACAGTGAGTTAAAATAGATGTACACCCTAAGGCCTCGTTCACACCTGAACGTTTTGTAGCGCGTTCTTCGACAAGCTCTCAAACATCTAAATCCCATTGTATTCAATGGGTCTGGTTCCCACCTTGGCGTATTTCAGCCCGTCCCTAACGCGCTACAAAACGGCCCACGCCTGAAAAGGTACATGTACTACTCTGGGCCGTTTTTGTTGTGCGTTTCCATTGGGACACAGCCAAGTAACCCTCGGAAACACGCGTTTGTCGCACGATTTTTTTTACCGCAAACCGGGCGACAGACGCGCATATGCAATACGCCTTGGTGTGAACCAGGCCTAACTGGATAATATTTTGTTATTAAACCATTTTTATGTTTTTTGCCTTTTAAAAACAAATACTGTTCAGCTTTTTGTTACAATTTATTTTTTTTAATCATAATTTTAAAACAAGATAGTTTGATTTAAAGGGTTAAAAAACAAAAATGCATTTCACATGAATGTCCCTAGATCAGCTATTTATCAAAATAAAGAAAGCAGGTTATTGGTGTTCCTAATAAAAATCCTTATGTCTTTTAGAAAACAATGCATATGTTTTGGTAGGAAAACTATCATAACATTGTCATGTTAAAGAACTGTGGGAAAAATCTTTCTTAACCCTTGCAGTAGGGCTACTAAACTCAGATGTTGGATCTTAATACATTTAAGTACCTTTTTTTAAAAAAAGCGGAAATAAACTCTTTCTTTTTTGGCATCTATCTACTTGATTTAAAAAAAGTAGGAAAATACCTAAGCACAGAACCTTGCTGGGCTGCACAGGCCTTTTTGATCCTTTTTAACAAGAATTCTTCAAACAAACACATCCCTGGGATCCTTTTTAGATGTTCCTGCTTCTCCCTGCTGGTCAGTGGGCGCTGCAGATTTTAGCTGTACTATCTGCTGATTTGCTGACTCTGGCTGCAGGGACGTCTAAAGGGATGCCAGGGATGTGCTCTTTCATTGAAAAGCTCAGGAACAAGTGATATTTTATTGGCAGAGAAATCTAAAAGCAGTGAGAGGGGGGGACCAGTGACCGGTACAGATCAGGCAGGGAAATGATCTATGAAGGAGGTTTGTTCACAAAGGAAATTAAGGTGGCCGATGCAGCTTTAAAACACCAATCACAGCACATGGTGTGAAAGAGCCCTAATGGGTGGCTGCTTCTGAAGGGGTGCAGACACTGCAGTTCTCATCAGAACACTGAGATTTCAGCAGGTGGTTATAAAGAGCCTCCCACTCAGGAATCAGTCTGGAAAGGACATGGTGAAACAGCTTTCTCTTCACAACAGAAAAGGGTAGGAATCTGCAGCAAAGTTTTTTTTTTTTTTAATTAAAAAGTCTTTATCTTTCTGACCTTTACATCCAAATTTAGGGTGTATCCTGAAACATAGTCCTACCCCCTTTAATTTGCAGGGTTCTTCTCCCCGCATGTTGCTATTGATGAAAATGGTCTGGCAAAAAAAATAGATATATCTATAGATTTCTAAAGCCAGAGGACCAGCATAACAACTTGTCATCTAGCATTTTCAGGAAGAAGTGAGCAATGGCAGCTTACATATTTTATTTATTACAGCTATTTATTTAGTGCTGACAATTTATGCCGCGTTTTACAAAGTTGCACATTCACGTCAGTCCCTTCCCTCAAGGAGCTTACAATCTTATCCCCATCCCCAGCTTACAATCAGTCCCCATCTCGCATACAGGGCCAATTTAGAAAGGCGCCAATTAACCTACCAGCATGCCTTTGGAGTGTGGGAGGAAAGCGGAGTACCCAGAAGAAACCCACCACGTCACGATCTCCTTGAAGATGGTGACCTTGCCAGGATTCGAACCAGGGACCCCCAGAGCTGTAAGGCAGTAGTGGTAACCAATACACTTCTGCTGCCCATATAGGTAATGCTTGGTTTCTGATCTGTGTTTAGCAGAGCTGTACATTGAACACTAGCTTTATGTATTTTAGGTATCAGTCCCTAATGATTGCGCTAGAGGAAACATACTAAACTGTATTTTTTTCAATGTTGTGCTTCATGATGGAGTAAGATATTAACAAGTTTTAATTATGTGAAGCATCCAAACCAACGGTTCAAGTAGACCTAACCAAAGCTGTTTGGATATGGCCAAGGCTTCTCGTGGAGGACCGTTTCGAGAAGACAAAGTGGAAGATGTGAAAGCGCTTGTGAAGATAATACCAGTGTTCTTGGCCCTTATTCCTTACTGGACTGTGTATTTTCAGGTCAGTGTATTTTCTTTCTTGGGCCATGTTTTTGAATATGATTTGCTTCTGGGCCACTTCCTGTCAACTATCTTCATTTGCTATTATTAGTACTTTAATTTAAATCCAATAAAAATGATCAGCTTGTTCTCGTACGCCAATTGAACAATTGCTAATGCCATCAGATCTGACATTCAAAATTTTTCTTTAATTTTAATTTTAACTTTTTTTGATTTTGGAAATGTATAGTTTCCACAAACAAAAAACACATTCGCTGTTTGAAATGTGTTCAACAAAAATGTTCCATCCTGTTCTGTGTGTGTGTGTGTGTGTGTGTGTGTGTGTGTGTGTGTGTGTGT